AAGACTCAGAAGAACTGAATAGTTCCAGGAAGTGTCGACTTTTAAAGAGTCTTCACTTCCGGTCACTTAATACTTGCTGACTGGTTGAAAAAACCAACAGGGGGTGGTTCTAGTGATGTCAGAGGGTTATTAAAAGTCAAGAGAGGGTTCAGGAATGTTTAGGAACGTTTAGTACAGACAGAGAAATGTTATGGCGAAGTGAGACAAACACAGATGCCAGCGTTTCTCCTTTTACCGTCTGCTAGGTTTAAAAACAATACAGTCCGTTCTAATAACTTGTTTTCTGACTGTCTCTGACTTTTGACCGACAACACTGACTTCTCATTTAGACAGAAGATCAAAATGCATAATTACTTTGTAAATATACATTTAACTTGATTTCTAAGTCTAATGAGGTTTAAAAAAAAATCATTAATACTGTTTCACAGTTGATTTAAAATGAGTGGTTCACTTCAACATTAGAAATGATATGAACTAAACACACTTTTGATTATCAAGATATTGTAAAATAGTAATGATAATATAAAAAGAAGAGTGTTCTTTCAATTGATTACTTCAGGATACAATAAGACAGTCTCTGGATGAGCTAATTTGTATTTCTGGATTCAAATCAATGAAATAACAGTTCCTGTCCGATGAACGAAGGAGACAGGTTTTGGTCGGAGGCCTAGTTCACTACAAGACCTTTTGTTGGATTACATTAGTCTTGAGAAAGCCTGTACCTCCATATCAGACCAATCTCTATGGGCTTCTTTGATTGGCTCCAACTCGTCGTGGAGGTGGGTAAACCCCTTTGATTTCGTCCCGTGGGGCATCGTTGTTGATGTGGGGGGGGTATCGGGGCTGGGGGCATGGGGGGGCGTGGGCCCGGGGCAATGGCGCTCAACTGGGGAGGTGACTTTGGTGGTTCTGAGCGTTGACCTCTGCTGGCTGCATGCAGGCTTCTGGGCAGTCTGTACCGGCGGGCGCAGGTTACTGGCCTGGTGGCCGGCTGCTCCTGGGTGGGTTTGTGGTGGGCATGGGTTCGAGGTTCAGGGGGAGTGTCGCTCCCAGGCTGGGGTCCTGGCTTAACCCGGGGGTCTCGGGTCTTGGCGGGTATGTTGTCGGGGTCTTGGTCCGGTGTATGCGCCGGTGCCCGGCCCTGGCCTGGGGACCCTTGGTGCGCTGGTGGGCTTTGGGGCCTCTGCCTTGGAGGGGGGGGGGGGGGGAGGGGGGCATGGGAGGGGACAGGTGGATTCAGCCTGGGTGTCTTCCTGCCTGGCTGTGGCTGCGGTCTGGTGGTTGGGTCGGGGCTGTGAGAGGCTGGGGGTGGGGGGGGGGGGTTGCTCGGGTGGCTCTGTCCTGCTGGCCCAGGGGTGTCTGGGAGTGTTAGGCATGTGCCCTCCCTTGCGTGGGGTACTCTCATTGTGGGTATTGCTGTGGTGGACTGGTCGGTCCTTTTGTGGGGGTTGGGGTGCGCTCTCGGTCATCGTGGTGCACTATCTGCGGCTGTTCGGGCACTCCTGGCTGATTGTCGCTGCTGGAGTTTGGTGGCTTCTTTGGTTGGGGGGCTGGGTGTTGAGCTGGGGATCGGGTTAGGGATCTGGACAATCTCCTGGGGGGGGGGGGGGGGCGCTGGCCCGGGTTCTGGTCGGTCCTTGGGCTATGTGCCGGTCCGTGGCCTGGGTCCCTGGTGGTGTGGCTGCCTCCTGCTCCTGGATGGATGCACTGAAGCCTCTCTCCCCTGGTGGATCTCGGAGAATGGAGGTGCCTGTTTGGGTCAGTGGGTGAGCTGACCCCCTGGGAGGGCATTACCACCTCAGTTGTTCCTCCCCATCCCGACGTCTTCCTCCACCCACTCCCATCACACCACCACTCAAGCAGGGCCTTGGGGTTCAGGTGCACTACTGAGCTGCAGGGAGGATCCTTCATCTCTGTGGTTTGTGGAGACCTGGGCCCCAATTTTATTAAACAACCTAGACACTTACATATAACATTCTCATGACACTTGCATATATAGGGTCTAGAGTAGGCACACAATGGCATATAGGGGGTGGAATGTGTAATCATTCTCACCCCCGGGATCTGTGCCCACTCTCATATGTAGCATGTAGACATTTAGGGTTCTGGGCAAGGTTTGGGGAGGTGAACGGGCACTGCCTGCTCTCTGGGGAGGGGGCGGGTATGTGCCAGCCGCCGCCTCATCCCCCCCCATTTTAAATGCACTATATAACAACATGCATCAACACCTTATTTGAGTGGGAGGAGGGAGGAGTTAGGTCTTCCTGTTTTCCTTAAACCCTCGTTCTCCGTTTGACATTTGGGGTTGGGCGCAGGAGGGGGGGTAGGCCGCCTGGTTGGGATCTAGGCTGTGGGTGGGTGTTGGGCCTTGGGGGCGATTGGGGGTGGGGCCGGTGCCCCGGTTCTCCCTCGGTTGTTTGGATCTTTTGATCAGGGTTCCTGGTTGCAGTGGCCAGCCCTTTGGCTGGGGTTGGCTGCCAGGTTCTGACGGAGGGTCGGCTGTGGTTGTGTGTGTGGTCGTTGTTGGTGCATGGCAGCGGTCGGGGGCGTGGCTTCATTTTGACGGGTTGCTGGCTGGTCGGCCTGATGTGACATTTTGCGGTGGGGGGTGCTGTGTGTGTGGGGGTGTGTAAGTTGAGAGTTTAATAAAAGGTTGTTTTTCTGACTATTTAATCTGTGATATAAAAGGTTTTTTGTGCATGTTGTTGTGAGTTACCCAGAGGTCTGAGGAGGAGGCCCAGCCCGCCTCCTCCTGTACGCTATCTAGAGGTTTTCTCACCCTAGCTTCTCACGCTCCCTCGTTATCTAGAGGTTTTTTAAGCTTCTCACGCTCTCACGCTATCTCAAGGGTTTTTCACAGACTTTAAGTCCAGGTGGGCATGTTACTGGGAGATGTTCCCATGTAATGTAGAGAGTATTAAAGTGTGACACTCAGAATTAGAGTTGAAGTCTGCTGTGGATCCTGATCCGATGCCCATTCTGAATTGATGTTACCTTTTTACTCGGACTGAAATGGCTTCCCGATCTGGTGTCGGTGAGGGGCTTTTTACATCAATATCTGATTTGTACTGAATGTACTGGTGCTTTGCTTTGCTGTATCTGTGGCGGTGTAATAAAAATGACACATTATTATTCTAGCAGAAACAGCCTGTGAGTTTTTTTTTGTTCATTGCTCCAACCGTCCACCCGACCCTGTCTTTTATTTAAGATAATTTCATAGAACAAGGTGCATGGGTGGCGTGCCGGGGCCTCTCCGGGTCTGTGGTGTGGGGCTGTAGGGAAGCATTGGTTCGCTGGGCCGGCCTTCCTTGGCTGTTGTTCCCAGCTGCTCTGGCCCCCGGCCTGGGGCCGGCTTGCGGTCACTGTCGGGTTGGTGGGGCACATGGACGGCCCGACGGAGGTTCCGTCAGACTGTCTCTGTGTGCCTGTTTATGTCTCATGTTGGGTTTTGGGTGGTCCTCTCTCTTGGATCAATTTGCCCCCCCCCCCCCCCCCCCCCCATTTGGTGTGTTGTATGGGGCCCCCCTCTGGTGGTGGGCCCCCCTGCCACCGGTGCATTGGCAGCTCTCAGCAGCTGGGGCTGGGTAGTGGGGTGTGTGCGGGCATGCCCTGGTAACTGCCTGCCGGGGGCCTGGGAGCCCTGGCTCTGCCGGGCCTCTGTTAGGGGGTGGTATGACCTCGGGACTCGGGGCTCAGTGTCCATGGCCAGATCTACTCTGGAGGGGTGGGTTGCCGGCGGGGCCTGTGGACTTGTCGCTGCAGCCTCCTGGAGTTTCTGCATTGTGGTGGCTGGGGATCTCCCGGGGCTTCCCTTTGCTTCTCTCTCTGGGGGGTGTGGGTGTCCCTGTTGGGGGACTCCCGGAGTTCCGGGCTTGGGGGCCACTGTGTGTCTATGGTTCTAGTCTTCCCTGTGTTACCATCATGTCCTGTGGGGAAGGGTCTGTGGTTCCCCACATCCACTATTGAACATTTTTATGGAGAAACCTTATGATGACAATCATGCTCACACAGGTGTTTAGATTCAGGTGTTTATCAGATACATACTCAGTTGGGTTGTGGTGGCCACTAAATATATCTTGTATTACCATGTACTGTATAAAATACTTTCCAATGATGTTACAAGTATCATTATATATGTTGTTTGTTGTTGTGGTTTCTCGGTTTTGTCTCGTCTTTTTTTCCCCGCAGGTCTAGAGGCAGACTTCAATGATGTTGATTTGTGTTCTCTTTATACCTCTCTCTCTCCTCTATTCCTATCTCCTTCTTTACCTTTTAACCCTTCTCTCACTTTTCTGCTTTGTTATCTTCTGTGTTTTTCATCCCCATGTCCATTACATCTGAAACAATCCCATAGCAAATTCTAATAAAATTTAATTTTCATATCAAGTGGAGCATTAAGGCCAGCCATAATGCTCTGCTTGTGAAAGTAAATCTGCTGGGCATCACTTTGACACTCAGACAATAATTCTAAGTGTCACAATGCCGGACAGGACAAGGGAAAAAGAAAATAGAAAAAAAAGAACTTAGAGATCAGCTGAAGGAGTAAATCATCCATTGATTCAGGTGGGCTGGAGCAGGTAAACAACAACAAGGTGCAGGATAGTGTCCCCTGAGAAGCAGGACTGGACACCACTGCTGTAGAAGTGACACTGAAGACAACCTTGTTACATTTCCTTTGAGTAGAGATGCCTTATCACCTTCCTTTTGTCATTTCACAGCTTTTCAGTTTACTCTGGATCCCTCTGTCATTCTGATGCATCATCATTTGCCCTCTAATCTGTCTTCCCTGTTCATTTGCTCTTTCTTGTTTTCCGTCACTTCTTAGAGGGGGAGAGGAGGGGTGTACGAGGCTGAAAAAAAAGAGTAATCTATGCTGTTACCTTGGCAACTGCATCTCCGAGCCGAGCCAGTTCACTTCCACAGATATGCATGCTCTCCCTCCCGTACTGATCCTCCTCCTGCCTGGCTTGGATGAAAGCTCACCTCTAATGAAAACAAAGAAACTGGAGAAAAGAGGAGAAGAACAATGTTGTGAGCAGCATTTCAACCCTTACAAGAAAACATTATGTATTTGTGCTCTGATGAATTATTATTATTACTGAAGACAGATATCAAAGGCAGACCTTGAACTGCAGAACGTAAAAAAGGCGACACATGGTGCACACTGTTCTTTAACATCCCTCCTTCCCTCTGCAGAGCTCCCTGTCAGCTGGTTGATAGAGCCAATTGTGGATAATTGTCTGTTAGAAAAAAATTATGCATTTGCAGTGCTCGACTGCATCGCTTTATGACATCAATCTGAGTTCATTTCCAAATTAATTTGATTCCATAAGAGCGTGTTTCTATGAGAGACACCCATCGACCATGAACTAACTCTAGTTCACAAAGCCTGACCTTTTAATCACGTTGCCAAAAGGTGAATGAATGTCAGGTGATAATACAAAGTTTGTTTTCTCAATCATCCAGGTATATAACAACAAAAAAGGTTGAATCATGTCATCTGGA